GATCATTGGAGTAACATGACTAAATCTTGAATAGTCATTTAATACAAATCTTGCTGCTTGGCGTTGAACAATCTCTATTTGAGTGATGTTCTGTTTGGTGAAAGGGCTCCAAGCGCAACACGCATATTCGAGATTTGGGCGGACTAGCGTGCGATAGGCCGTATCTTTGACTTTAGTATCACAACCACTTAGAATACGACGCAGTAGCCCAAGAGTAGAATTTGCCTTTTTACAGGTCTGATTGATATGCTCGTTCCAGGACAGATTGTCTTTTGTTACTTATGACGTCCACTAACACCCAACTGAAGTTAAAATTATATTAAAATAAGGTAATTTGATGAAAAGGTAATTCCAGATGAGAATAAATGAAAAAAAGAAAAGGATTACAATTTTTGCAGTTCTCCTGAAAAAGAAAATAAAAAATAAAATATCCATGAAAATGGCGAAATTTGGCTTGATCGGAATACCAAAATATTTTTCTTATGGCATTGTTAAATGGACGACGTAAACTAACAATTGATGAAACAAAATTTCTGCAAGGAAAAAAAAGCTGAGAGTTTAAGCATCACAGAGTGTATCTCCAGTTCAAAATGGAAGAAAATCTCAAGGAGGGAAAAGGCGGAATAACAATCAGGTTACAAATTGTAAATGTACTATAATTACACGACATGAAGACTGTTATATTTTACCTTATCGCCGTCGATTTTCATGACCAGCGTCCATCCACCACCTCCACATCCCGTAAGGTCATTAGTCATATGACAGTAGATTTTAAGTTCAAGTGATGATCCCAGTAGCAGTGGGTAGGCTTTATTACCCGTGGATCTAAAGAATTACGTGAGAGTGAGGGAGTACTTTGCAATGCCCTTGTCTGTGAGTGAACTACTAACCAACCAATATACATTAAAGTCAAAGCATTGGATGTTTTCTTGTTTTTTTGTTGTGGTTGCTGTAACTCTGTTTGTTTTTTTGAGCATAGATTAGAGACTGAGTAAATTTTTCCATAATAATGATAAAAAAAGAAAGACCAAGTACTTACAAGTTCAAGTCAAACAGCTGTTTACAGGACCGGGCAAACGCTAGGGAAAAGAAATCTTACATTGTTATTATAAGGACGTGGTCCTTTTGTTCAATAAAACAGGAGAACAGGACTAGAGACAATCTAAAAAGGAAAAACCTCGGTTGAAAAAAAAATGTTTCAAGACAAACAAACCGTAAGAAAGGTCAGAAAACAAGAAGCTTGAGAAGACAAACTAAACAACCAACCAACAGACCATATAAATGAGGTGCTCTGTTTAAACGTTAAAGTTTAAATAACATACCTGAACATATGCGTCCATCTCCAGTGTATCCCACCTTGCAGGTACAGGTAAAGGATCCAACGGTGTTTGTGCAATTTGCATTTACGTGACAATCATTGCTGCCGTTATCACATTCATTAATATCTAGGCAATAAATAAGTGAAACATAGAAAGATAAATGGAGTCTCGGAATAGTCAGTTTCTCACAAAGAGACCAAGCTAGACAGACACACGTTGACATGAGACTATAGATGCGAATACTACTTGTTGCGTTTATCAGTATCGATCATGTGCAGTGATATATCACGAGATAATTTCTTTAGACGCATCGTTTTTGGGCTCACCTTTTTCACAATGTTCTCCCTTGTATCCTGTCTGACATACGCAGAAGTATTTTTTGTCTGTAAATCCGTTCAGGCAGGTCGCGTTCTCAGCACATGGGTTACTGAAGCATGCATTCTGATGAGGAAATAAATTTGTTTGTTGAAACTTAATGGTAACAATTTTCTATAAAGCATTGATAGTATCCTTGTCGAGTTTGCTTTGCTGTTTGCTAACGTACGTACGTTTTCATATTAGCTAACCAACCAACCGGCCGACTGTCTGACTGACTGAATGGCTGACTTGTTGGCTGACTACGTACCAACAAACCAGTGGCGGATCTAGGG